TACTTGTTCATAAATCCCCTATTCTAGGGTCACTCAAGAGATATTGACAATGTATGTAGCATACAAAAGTGAATTTGATCATCATTTTTTCTGTACACTTCTACAAATACAATATTTCAAAATAACCTTCATACAGCCACGAGTAATAAGAGCTGGAATAGTTATACGGACAACAGGATCAAGTGCAACCATAACATTCATTGCACATATATATATGGGCAATTAGAGATGAAATGACATGGCAATTAAACGAAAACTATCAACCCATTAAATGCCACTTCCTCCCTTAGCTGCTATTACATGTTTGGAATTCACTTCCTGCATTTTAAAATCTGTAATTTGATTACACAATGACTAACTTCTTTGCATAATTGTAAATCCTATAGTTTTAAACTTTTGTTCAGCAATGAGGCCATGGAGGATGAACGTGGTTAGCACACTATTGACATAAGAATTAGTAATTATTTTACTATTGCATCCCTAAAACTGTAAATATAGTGACGACTCCAAAAATAACTCTACCGGTATTTCTTGATCGCAAAAGGGTAAATTAGTGGTAATCGGTATTCGTGAATGATGATCTTTTACGCAAATGAGCCATAACATTCTACACATAAACTAATTACGATAACTGCGTTTTAGTCTTTAGAAGCTACAAAATAGATACATGGTATAAACAGGATATCAAATTTGTGACACTTTTGATTTTGAAATAAGTTTGTTTCCATGGAAGCAAAATATCACAAATTTTCGACATGCTTTTAAAATTTCCACATTTTCCCCCATTAACCAAAATACAATGCAGTAAGGTGAATTAGTAAAATGTTTGCATTTTTTTCTTTCTTGACAGGACACACCAACAGTATTTAGATGGTACTACGAGTGCTTTCAACCAATTGTGTCTTTCATACGAAACCAATAATTAATTTTATCTTAATGACAATAATGGTGAAGTTCAGCACTATTAAAAAATAGACAGTTGACTAATGGTCTTTCTAACACATGTAATGTTCATCCCCATTCAAGTGATGTTACGTAACATGTTACAACGATATAAAGAAGAGCATCAGCACTGGCATAACTATTACATATGTACTGATTTAAAAAAAACAGGTGTGAACATGTTACAGTGTTAAGGGACAACACTAGTGACCATTTGCAAAACGATTGTATTGGCGTCCTACACTGAATCTTAGCGCCACAGTCAACTGTATTTATGTTATTTCAAAAAAGGTACCCTCAATGGGTGTCACATTTTAATAGATTGTTATATAGACCTGTAAATGTTGTTAAACTTAAAATATGCCTCTTGGTTAGCTCCGTGTTTCAACAATATGTATATATATTATTATGAAATTTCAAAAGGACCAGAATTGTTAAAAAAAAAGTACACAAAAGACAAAAATATTCAGTCAACCAAAACACGCCATTGTGCACATTATCCAGCGGCCGCCATATTTAAACCTATATATCTGTCTAATCACTATGCCCACTTCCATCATAACCAGTAATGCTAAATTTGATACATTTTACACCAGTTACATTTACACCACTACAAATGTTCACAATTCACTATTTGGAAGCTTAGTTATTGTTCACGGTTACAGTAATTCACAGATTGTTTTACACTGTCTAGCTGATTAGATGATGTTGTACAATTAATAAAACTAATTTATGCTGTCCCATCACTAATGCTGGATTGGTCGACAAGAACTCTACTTTTGAATTTGATATGCTTATAAGATTCACAGGTTTAGTTGCACACTGTAGACATTATATACAGCCTCTTGATTTAATTTATATCTTTACTGTAAATATTTATAAAAAAATTACTTAAAACTACATCCGAAATATGTATCTTAAACATTTGTCACTGATACACTGATTAAAAGTAAAATGAAAATCCAGAAATAATATTCATGTTAGTATTTTCTTGAGATACTGAAAAGTGACATTTCCTGACGTCACATTTAAAAATACTTCCGGTATATTAGCACCCACAAAATGGTTTATGTGTGTGTATCATCACTTCCGTTTGAACCAACTAAATGTGGCGTCGGGTAAAGTCACGGAAGCTACAATATAAAGTGGTTTATTTTATGAATATTGAACAAAAATACAATTCTACCGGATTTCTTTAACAAATTTTATGCTCACCTAGTTCGGTTATAAAACAGTGCAACATCCTTTCTTTTTCGCCGGCCCTGATGAAATCGAAGCGATCTCCCGCACCACTTCCGCAAATAGTTCATTGACATTCTGTGTGTTTTTAGCCGACGCCTCAAAGAACGGACAATTCCATTGCTGTGACAGTGTCAATCCGTCGTACGACGAGACTTCTCTCTCCTTCTCCAAGTCACATTTATTCCCCACCAGTATGATGGGAACTTTTTCAACGCCCTTGACTCGTTGTATTTGTTCTCTCAGCGGCTTAGCGTCGCGGAATGTGTGCTGGCCGGTTACACTGTACACCAACACGAAACCCTGACCGTTTTTAATGTACAGATCGCGCATAGACGCGAATTGCTCCGTCCCAGCTGTATCTAAAATTTCCAAAATCGCTGGATTTTGGTCCACTTCAATTTCCTTTCGGTAAAAATCTTCGATTGTAGGGTCGTATTTTTCCACAAAAGTTCCTGAGACAAACTGTACAGTGAGGGCGCTTTTTCCAACTCCGCCGCTTCCAAGCACTACAACTTTATATTCCCGCATTTCGCTGAAATCGCAGAGGTAAATCACCACAAATAACACTCTATATTGCTCCTATGATATCCCCGCATCAGCCGATCATCTTCTGGACAACTGTAAAGACGACATGACGACATACAAAACACTGTATCTTGGCGAACTTTAACTAAGCGGCCTGTTGAAACACGACCGCCATATCAGTACTACCTAGCTTGGTGATAAGAACGACGGATGTCGAGATTTAAGTACTCGGCCAGGGGGGTTCACAGGAAGTATAAATCACAACAAACTTGTGATCTTCCGTCGTCAGATGAAATCGCCTCTATCTAACCATTAGACCGACATAATTGCGTGTTTTCTGGAGGAAGTAGCAAAATAGTTCACGTATATCGGTATGCGACGTGAGCGCTTCAACACAACATGGACCATATATTATAAAAGTGGGGGGTAGAGAGAATGGGAGTGCCATTCATTAATTTTGACGCAACGTGGTGTACATTTATTAGTTATGATTATGATAACAATACCCCGGGGGGGGGGTATTCCAAGTCAGACCTGGTACCCATGCTGAATTAGGATAGGATAGGATAGGATATTTTTTTGGGCACATACACAATACTGAGCTAGTGTAAAGTCCAAAATAACACAAACAAAATAAGCTAAACAATTCTAAAACATGAAAAACAAATTTTGCTAGACTACTACAAATAAAAAGATCAGAACTTGAAAAAAATCAAAACAAAAATATCCTCTCTAGCTAATAGTTGTAGACTAGGTGCGTAAACATAGATTGCTGTAAATAATGTATTTCTTAATTCCCTAATTTTGTCACGATTACATCTGAAATAGTAATGTTTTTCATCACCAACTTCATTACAGTTACACAGATGACAGAATCTGTCTCTTCTTTTAATGTCTCTATGTCGACCTTTTTCGACTGGTAGCTGATTGGCTGACATCCTGAATTTGGTTATAGCTTTTCAAAAAAGCCTCTAAACATGTATTTATTTTTGAGAAATTATACCCCTTTTCAAGTGCAGAAACTTAATGATATAGATACCTTATATACATACTAAAATCATACTGTTTCCAAGTTGGGGTAACATGAATTTATGAGAATCATTCTCTCAAACTTTATTACCCTAACACGGTACACGCGTATACGCGTCAAATAACTAAATAACTCTCCTTTTACGCGTTTTTTTTTTTTTGCTTCAGCTTGCGTACCATATTTTAGATTCAGAGATCCTCCCGGGAATATTTCGAAAGAATATTACTCATCAATGCTGTGTTTTGTTATTTTTTATCTGCACGGCGTTACTGTGAACAATTCATTCTCTAACTTCCACCAATAAATCGGTGGCTATAAAACTTATTGCAGAAAATGTACAATTTGGATGATCGGCCAACTTGCCCGTTTATCTTTGTGACACATATTTATCCGTAGTTTTTACTCGGAAGGAAAACGCAAAGAGATAACTTCCGCTAATAATAGTTCGACAGGTACACGTTTAGCATGTAGTAAAAGTATGTTTTAGTATGTGTTGCATGGTTGTGTCGATTACATGTTCATTTCAGAAATGTACACGTTCGGTGTACACATTACATTAATTGTTGAACTACTACTGTATATTGAAGTTGGATATTATTGGTGCAAAATTAAAATTTGGTGAGCAAAATTTTGCAAGTCAGTAAAATGGTGCTAACCAAATGAGACTTGAATCCGTGAACTGTGAGCTGTGATTTTCTCTTGAAACAGATTAAGGGTTGACCATTTGATTTTGATTTTTTATTCTTGGGGGAGGGGGGGGGGGTACTTACGCACCCAACCAAAACTTTTGTTCACGTATTTCCATGCAACGTTTTACTATGCATTTCATGACGGCATCAATTAATTTCACATAATTTACAAATGTTTATGAAATTTTAATAATGGCTAAAAACAACTACAACAATTACCATCCATCAAACAAATGTATGCCAATATAAAATGCGCAGTAAAAAATCATCGTTACTGAAGTTTTAGATAATTTGTATACATTAATAGGAACTGACTATTCTACCCACCCAACCCCATCTATACAAAGTGTGAACCATAGTCTGTTTCACTGGAAAATGTTTCTCACTGTTACAATTATTCCTTATTTTATCTGGTGAGCAACATATTGCTTCTTGAATTAGCGAATTTTGCTAGCCATTTACCATCACTGCACATATTATAGTAATATTTTATATACATGTAATGGTGCTATGCCCTGTGACATGAAGTTTTAAATAGGTACGTTAATCAGTGGTACATCATGGATTTAACAAAATATTTATATGATATGATATGATCTTTTATCTACCTCCGACTGAACAACATGTTTGTTTGGTTCAGTTGTGTGGGAACTTTTTAAAGAATTCAATGTCGTTTAGTATATCGTCAACTTGTAATCACTTTCTTACACTGTACTGTAATTTAACGTCAAACGTGGTCATTCACTGTTGAACGTCGATGTCATCTTTCTTCATTTTCCACAAAATCTGCATAACTTTTTCATGTTTTGGGAAATTATGTCCATTTGGCACAAAAATAATTTTAAAAAAATGACAGAATATAGATTAAAGTATGCAACATGTTGGACCAACTTTTTAGATGGAAAAAATATGGCGTCCGTTTTGATAAATGTTATCAAATTAACTTAGAGTTGAGCATCTGTGTTAATTTTACATAAAAATAAATAATGTCATCTACTAAATCTGCATGGCATCATAAAATATTTCTCATACACGTACTCCATCACGAAATTGTACACAAAAATGAGAAATTATAATATTTCATTGAATTTGGTTACTATAAATATTAGCAAATATTATCATATTATTTTAAAATAGATGAAATCGTCAAAATGACAAAGGATCAATTATCACTTCCCTTATGCTAGAAACTTCAAAACAAAACAAGTATATGTCAATGGGATAAATGAGAAGATGTTTTACTGAATAAAAATATAAAATATTCCTTATTTATATGATTCGCCGTGTACTTTCAATCAAGTTTATTACGATAAATAATAGAAACAAAATTTATTGTTTGTGATAGAATTCATTGCGTATGCTAGGGAATTCTAGTGTTTTGTTGCTAGTCTGAGCTAGTTGTATTCGTGTTTATTAGGGATCAAGGAAGTGGTCAAACATTAGGAGCAAAACAACCATTATTAAAATCGAAAACAAAGAAGCAAGTATTGAATTTACTTAGTTTATATACTGAAATAAACCGAGAAATAACCAAATTATGGCTGAAACGGGGAAGATTTATAGCCCAGCCACAGTCACTAGTGTATAGCAACATGCCACCTGACTGTGAGCCCAGTGAGTTTGTAAATTGATGGTACTTTAGTCAGTGATGTGCGCCCTCACCGCCGAGAATGATATCGTATGTTAGCTGGATACTGGGGGTGTCACAGTGTCGCAGAAGGGGCGGTCGCCCCCTCAAAAAAATGTTGGAGGGCGTCCCATAGTTTCAGCAAAATGTGCCCCTCAAAATGCAGGAAATAGCGTTTCAGAGGGTATAGATTTCAAAATTTGTAAAGGGGAGCATGCCCCGGACCACGGTGGTGGTGTCTTGAAATTGTAACACAAAAAATCTAAAATAAATGTCTCCGTTAAAAAAAAAGGACGTGTTCTAATTCGGTTAAAACAAGACTATAGTTTTGGTTGTATTTATTTATTTATTTATTTATTTATTTATTTATTTATTTATTTATTTATTTATTTATTTATTTATTTTTTTATTTATTTATTTATTTATTTATTTATTTATTTATTTATTTATTTATTTATTTATTTATTTATTTATTTCATTTCAGGTGTATGATGTAATTTAATATATCATATTTAATTTTTACTATACATTTTTATCATTCTGTAATTGTTTTGATTATTATTACGTACATCTTAATCTGTATTACTTGTTGCGATTACCAAAACTCGCCAGCAAATAAATACTAAATTAAAATTAAATAAAGTAAAAAAAATGTATAGTAAAAATAAAAATTATACACATATTTAAACAAAAATAGAGCCCAAGCTGGGATATTATTTCAATCAGATTGTGGTAATTGCAAAAGCCTACATAATAAGATGTACAAATCGCGTAACGCATTTATAATAATTGCTGAAATAAAGCATTACGCATATTGTGTTAGCTGATGCTTATTTGGCACTACCAGTATTAAATTTCGTTTAGAGGATGGAGTAGGAGCATGAGGGGTACAGAATTGAACGATAAAATTAAGTTTTCTGAGCGTCTGTGAGAATGCGAGATAGTCACAAGAAGCTCGATAAACTCATTCACTTTTTCACTTCCCGAAAGCAAACTCGAGTATGAATGAATTTTGTGTAAATATATTCCATATAATAGTATAAACACACGAATATCGACACTAGAAGTAAAGGCGGGAAAATCACAAAATGGCATGACTCTGATCATGAAATAAAGTAAAAAGGTTTTAGAATGAGGAATACAAGCAGTTATGAATAATTATAACTAAATCAATGTTTACAATGTAACGTGGTGAAGTTGGTAGCGCCCTCTTTGGTCATGGACAAAAACTACTGTATTGGGTCATGAGTGGGTCATTCCCTGGGTCAATCAATTAAAGTAGAACCAAATGACCAATATGGATCAATAATATCTATGATCGAACAATGATTTTGATTTCTTCAATCGAATTTATGTTTTGGCAAACGAAATTATGATAAATGCACCCAGTGTATTGTACATCTGTATATTAATTATTTCAGTTGAGTAAACATACAACAAACATTCGTATTGCTAAATCCGCCATTTTGTGTGAAATGCTGTTCCCGTTTTTCTGCACATCTTGAGGTAAATTAACTCTTTCCGTGATCGTGTAGTAATCGGTATTGGGACTTGAACATTGTAAAGGCTTTTATACCTAGTAATTGTAATTAAGACGTGTGCTTGTCATTAGAACCCGTGAAAAACAGAAAAAAAAGCGAGCCTGACATATGTGCAGAAGACAAAACGGCGAACACTTGATCGATCGTTGAACCTATCATCACTTCACTAAAACTTTGACGGATGTGAAAATAGAAAACGGATATTAGACTTCGCTGTACGCTAAAGATGTAGGAGCTCATAGTGCAAAAGATGTAGTGGTAACAAGTGGATTATTATCTGATCTTTATCGGATTTTGAGATCTATCAACAATAATATTATATAATGCCTCCTATCGAAAGCCAGACCCATATGGCTCTGACGCCAGCTACGCCGAGTGGTGGCGGAGCCCCCATCACCGGTGGAGGAAACACCGTATCATTGGCGACCCTCCTTGAATTCTTAGTACAGAAAACATATCACGAGATTACTGTGATGGCAGAACTGTAAGTACATTTTATTTAAATTCTGAATCACTTTTTTTTAGTTTCAGCTATAAAATTAATTAAAGGCTATTTATTATCTAATTTGAAAATAAATACAAATCTGTCAATATCACTGAGGTTAGCTGCTCTTATTTCGCGAAAAACAAATTGTGACTTTTGGGAAATTTACAATTGGCGGAAAACATACACCCAACCCGGGCAACCATGGTGTCTCATAGGCAGTTACTGAGGGACTTTCCTGAAAACTTGATTACCCAATTATCAAAAAACAAAGGATGTGGTGTGCCTTTGATGTGTGCTCTCATGAGACAATGTAGTTGGACTATTCCATTTCTTTTGTAGGTACAAAAAAGCATTGTAATGTTGTAACACTCAGAAAAAATTTATTACGAACATAAAACTTAAAATGGATATTAATAACAAGCAATAATAATTGTAAATTTTGTTGATCGTGAGTTAGCATTGTGAGTGTTACGTTCTCAGTTTCCTGTATAATGAGATGCCTCATTGGAATTTTTCACTTTTAATTTCACCTCTAATATCTGTTTCAAATATCCTTCAGATCTCGTGTTTTGCAATGATATTCTGAATGTATGACAACATATAATGAATTTGAGCATTCAGTGACACTGGACAGGGATTGCGTTAACCCCAAATTTTGCTTCCCGGACTCCAATTATTGAAGAGGAAGCCAGTTTTTCAGGCAAGCTGAGGTCCAATCTCTAATAAAGTTATCCAGGGTCAAATTTCAATTTCATAAAATTTTGTGAGTGGGACTTGTCTTGCTGAGACATTAGCGCAAACCCTGCTAGAGCATACCGATACCCTAATTTAGGTGTCCTTTTTGCAACATTTCAATTCTTCATTGTGCCAAAATTAGAATACATTTAGCACAATTTGTTGCAAGTGGCACCTATTCAAGGGTCATAGGGTCAAACAAGTATGATTTTTTTTATTTGCACCTTTTTGGTTTGTGGAATGTGGGGCATCAAGAATATATAACTTCTGGTTGA